GACTGGAGGCCTTCTGAAGAACTGACATTTGAGCAGATGTCTTTAAAGATGAGCCATAGAGATTGCAGAGGTAGTGACGTCTGGACTCAGCGCACAGCACACCAGAGGCCTTGGGGTGAGAATGAGTTTGGTGGCAGTCTCCTGAGACCATCAGAAACACACCAGTGAAGAAGTCAGGTGAATTTGACTCACACAGCAAGGTAAGATGTCACACAACCAGGAATCATGCAGTGTCTATGCAAGAAGCCATTAGACTCACAGAAGGTGGAGGTCTGTCATGTGATTCGGGAAGAGCTCAAGGAGCAGGTGGGGGTGGGGGGCCATTCTGGACTGGGGCACTGTCAGCAGCGGAACTCATTCTATTCTTATGTAAATGGAGAGCAGAATGGAGCGAAGCTACAACTGTAGGTGGCAAAGAAGCAGCAGCCCCTCATAGCAGCTGGGGTCGGAGGAGAGCACGGCATTTTGAGGCTGGGACAGTGTTCCATTTTATGTGTATGCAGAGTGGCTGAAGCCGGAGAATGATCACATAAGTGGGGCAGCCCCAAAAAGCGCCTGAGGTGAGCCACACGGACAAGCCGCTCCTGGCCAGAGAACACCAGGCACCAAGACAATCCAAGCAGTGACTTGCTAGGCAGGGGTGTGTCATGTGACCTGGACCTGCCAAATGTATGAATAAATGTGCTTCGGCGATCGAGTAGTTCCTTTTCTTCCCATCTGAAGCAAGGGCCCTTCAATACTCACCAACGAATAGGAGGACTTTCTAGGACATAAAGGGATACCCTGGCTTTGCTCTCCTGGATGGTTTTTTGTTGTTGTTTTGTACCAAGGATTGAACTCTTTTTTTTTTTTGTACTGGTGATTGAACTTAGGACCTTGTACTTGCCCGGCAGGAGCTTACACCACTATCTCCCCGGTCCACTTCTAGATGGTTTTATTCACTCCTGGACACTGGACACTTTGGGATTAGGACATTCAAAAGCAACCAATGATACAGGAGAATTTAGAAAGTCTCTGCATAAGCTCAGGGCGAGTGCAAGCCCAGAAAAGACTTGCACAGAGGCACCCTACAATAATACTTTTTAAAAAGCCCTATTAAATCCTGGAGAATGGGGGCTAGGGAGATGGCTCAGTGGAATAAGCGCTTCCCTGGCAAGCACAAGGGCCTGAGTTCAATCCCCGGTTCCGAAAAAAAAAAAAAAAAAAAAATCCTGGAGAATGGAGAAGAATGTTATTTCCAGAGCTACCACCAATAGAAGGTCCAAATTTCTATATTCAGTATTCAACCTAACACACACGTACACACACACACACACACACACACACACATGATTCGACCCACGGGGAGGCACTGTGTGCCTGAGGAAGTCTGGGAGGGGGAATCACCAGACAAAGGCTTAACAGTTTTAAGTAAAGGAAACATAGGCAAAAAGAGGGAATTGTTGTAGGAACAAAATGAGAATATCAGTAAAGAGAATGCAAGAAGAAACAACAACAACAACACAAAAGAAAATTCTGGAGGTGAAGAATACAATTGCTGAAATAAAAAATTCACTAGAAGTATCCAAAAAACAGTCTCAGTCAGTCAAAATAAAGATCAGCAAACAATAGGACAAGTGACACTATTAAATCAAAAGGAAGGAAACGAGAGAGACAGAGACAGAGACAGAGATAGACAGAGATAGAGACAGAAAGACAGAGAGAGATGGAGAGACAGAGAGAGAGAGAGAGAGAGAGAGAGAGAGAGAGAACAAAGCCTGAGACTGTTGGGATGAACCTACATGTGGGAGCTCTCAAGGAAGAAGAGAGAAGCCAGAGGGAAGAGCTGTATCTGAGAAAATAATGGCTGAAAAATTTCCAAACCTGCCCTACAGCTACAAATCCAAGATGCTCAGTGAGCTCAGCTAAAAAACCAAAAAGATGCTCTAGAGACATAATACCCTCCAGCCATCAGGCTCAGATAGAGAAGGAGTCTTGCAGGACGCAGTGTTGTCCGCATTCCCAGCCCCTCGGGAGGCTGAGGCAGAGAGAAAAGGAATCGGTGGCCAGGGTGGGCTGGGCAACACAGCAAGGCTGTGTAAAACAAAATCTTGAAAGCAGCAAAGAGAAATAATGTGTTATATTCAAAGGCTCCTCAGTAAGATTATTGGCAAAATTCTAGTTGATACGAAGTTCTAAAAGGAAAACAAGACAAAACAAAACAAGCTGTCAACCAGGAATTCTATAACCAGAAAAACTATCCTCCAACCATCAGGGAGAAATTAAGACATTGTCAGATAAAAGTTACAGGAACGTGTTAGCACTAGATATGTGCTGTAGGAAAAATGCTGAAGAAAGTCTTTCAGATTGAAATGAAAAGATTGTGAAGAGTAACTTGAAGCCGATGAAGAAATAAAGCTATGTGGTAAAGCTATACATAGGCAACTATAAAAGCTCATTTTAGTAGCCTTTTGGTTTGTAATTTCACTTTTTATTGTCTACATGATATAAAAGAATGCATAAAATCATTACTCTTTGTTGTTGGAAAAATGTGTAAAGATGTAACTTGTGATATCAGCAGAAAAGGGTGAC